GAAAGAGACCTTGTATGTAGTTTTAACAAAGGGGATCTTGGCTGCTACTTTTATTTTCATTGACTAAACAAAAAAAAAAATCAGTAACTGAACTGAGCTTTGCATCCCTGAATTACAGTTTTTCATCTCACTCTTAAACTAGGGAGGATTAACATAGTTTCTCACTGCCACCTGTTCTGTATATTATAAATGCACTAAGTAACAGCCAGCTGTGAATTATAGGGCTATAATTCCAACAAGAAACTTTGTTGGTGCTATAAAATGCTACAAAAGTTGTTTTGAGCAATATGCAGAACTCTGTGATTATGGACTGCTAGTTCTACAACATGAATTCACTGCTATTATTACTATTGTTGTTATTTTAGACTTGTGCGGAACATAAGAGTTCCTGTAGGGTACACTTAGTTTCTTTGAGGAAACAGATCCCTGAGAACCCATGCACTAAACTAACCTAAGCAGAAAGAAAGTAAGCAGAAGCCAACACTAAAATAAAATTCAACCCCCACAGTAGGTTTCTCAAAGATCTTTTATGAGAGATCATTTGTTTGAGTAAGCTTCATCCCTACGTTATAGCAGATCCCTGACTATCACTGGAAGGACAAGATCATCAGGTGGTGTATAGTTTGCACTATCTCTGAGACCACTCCTTAGTTGTTTCCCTGGCTCCACTGCTCCTTAGCACTATTTAATTCTCCTTTGTTGGCCACGACCCGACATGGTTCTTGGTGGCCTCTGGCTGAATCTGCAGTAAAGCTAATATGAAGGCTTAGATATTTTTAAATGGGAATTACTGACCTGATATCCCTGTAATTTCTCTGCTAAATGCTTTTCTATTAGTGTGGCATTTCCCAAACTTTATTAGAACATTGGTTCCTAACTGATCGACACAGTGGAAAAAATGCCACTGCTTCCTTAGGTTTCCAAAGCCATCTGGCATGCAGTGATCAGCCAGGCCTATGGAAATTCATGTCCAGGTTCTAGCCTTAGGAATGGTACCTAGACACACAATGATGGGTCACATGCCAACTCTTCTTTTCCTTGCCAACCATTGCGTATTTAATACGTAAATTTTCTTTCTCTTAGGGCTATTTATGTCCAAATGAGTTTATTGCAACTCAGGGACCATTACCAGGAACAGTGGGTGATTTCTGGAGAATGGTGTGGGAGACAAGAGCAAAAACACTTGTGATGCTTACACAATGTTTTGAAAAAGGACGGGTAAGTTACCAGCATTAACAGCATGATATAATTGGGAATTGTATATGTAGTTTCTGTCAAGATTATAATATGATCGTTGTTAATTAGTAATCATCTCCCTGCAGATAAGATGTCATCAGTACTGGCCAGAAGACAATAAACCAGTGACTGTGTTTGGGGATATAGTGATTACTAAATTGGTGGAAGATATTCAAATAGACTGGACCATCAGAGACCTAAAAATTGAAAGGGTAAGCCAGAATTGGAAGCTGATTGAATAAAACCCCAAAACCTCAAAGAACATCATCAGATGTGCTCCATCCCACCCAACTACACTTCAATATTCTTATTTTAATCTAATGCGTATGCACTGTACTGCCTGGTTTTCCTGCATTTTAGTTTAATTCCTGGTGGGGTTGTTTTTTGGTTTTGTTTTGTTTTGTTTGGGTTTTATGAAAGGGCCTATCAAGGTTATTGAACCTCTGGTCTGGTGGGAGGTGAGGTTTCTATTTGGACACCTCAGTTGTCTCTTCTAGAAAGGAGTAATCCTAACCATTCTGGGATCAGACAAATCCCTTTGAATGTAACCCTCTCAGATTAAAGGGCAAGATTCTCTGGTGCAGCGCAGCTGTTTTGCATTGTACCACCAGCTGTATTGGCCTCCACCCCCAGGAGATTCAACCAGTATAAATGGGAATCATCAGTATTACTCCTACTCTTTGTGCTGGGAAAGCGGGTGAGGGGTACAGCGTAGATGTCCATCTTCGACATGATCCACAGCTATAGCTTCTACTCTTTGGGAAAATTAGCACCCAACGTTAAGTCAGGCCAGCAGGTAGGCTCAGAAACCAATCTGGGCATAACGACCCAAGATGAAGTGAGCCACCTTCTGCACAGCATTGACCTGTGTTTTATGTAGTGCAGCCAGATCTCAGGACCTGAACTCCTGATCCTAGGAACGAGCATTTGGGTTTGCATCCAAATATATGCATTACCATCCTGTGGCCTGTCATGACTAAAGGAAAACAGCAGTTAGGGGATTGTCTCAGTGGTCACCCTGTAAGGATATGTTATGTACATAGCACAGAGCAATTGAACATTTTAAAATTAATAAGAGGATAAAGGGTTTTTTCAGCTAGATTAGACATTAACAAGACTGGAAAAAGGACTATTTAGAGTCAAAATACATGCCAGCAAAATGCAAAGTCACCTGTGTTACTCAGGCTGAGGCTGGAAAGAGAACAAAACATAAACTGCACTAAGTGATCCCTTCTCTATAGCTGAACTACCCCGCACAAGAAGCTATGTGCTTTATAAGCATGTCATTAAATGTGCCATATTGCTGGCTTTAAGACTGTACTTCATCTTCTGTTCACAAATGGATGGATTCTTGATGATCTTCCAGTGAAAGTGAAAAGCATATGTGGGGCAAATCATTCACAGTTGCTGCCATATTGCATCCAAAGACACTTCCTTTTTGCTTTTACACCGATCAGTTTTTAAAATATACACCCAAAGTAGCTGCTACACATAATTGTTCACAGATGCTCAGTGTTTCTTGTGGTATGAAAAGAGCAAGTGGTTGGTTCAAAATAAATGAAGAAGGAACTTTTTCATTATCCAACAGTTCATTAAACTTTGGTACTCCTTGCTGCAAGATATTGAGAATGCTGAAAACTTACACGGCTTCATAAAATCTGGATAAATTAGTAGAAGAAAATTCTGACAAGTACTACTAAATTTTGAGATAACGCTTCCGACGGAGGCAGTTCACAAGTAACAAACTAATGAGAATAGAAAGGATCTTCCGTGGAACTATCGATACATTGTTGGCACATTTTATAGATTTCCCTAAGGTTTTTTCCTTGGCTACCGTTGGAAACAGGATATTGGTTTAGGCAGGCCTTTGGCATGATCCTGTGCTTTTATTCTTGTCCTTCATAGTTGACTTAGGTATCAGATCATAACCTGCCTTTTGCTTTGAGTTACTGTTGCTGCTGCTCTGATTGAGAGGACATCAAACACTTAGAACATGTATGTGTGCCATCACTACGTTAGATCAACCTTAGAATGGCTGCTTTTTCCTAAATAAGTTTGTCATCCCAGTTCACTGGGATGACAAACTTCTAAAAGTTCCAGAAGCTTCTAAATGAGCTCTAGAAACTTCAGCCTGCAGTCTACAAATTACATCGATATACTGACCGAAGGCAAACGGGGAGTGACTGCTGAAGTCGTTAACACTTCCTGAAAGGTGGACTTGATGTCAGCTCTCCAAAAACCTGCCTTAGGATCTCTGTACAACAAATTATCCCTTGACACATGTACATCTTATAAATACTATGCACTCTTGACTTTCTTTTTTTACACGAAATTGCTGAGAAGGTTACATGTAGCTTACTGGACCTTCTGTCACACTTCTTCTGTGAAAACTGCCTTATTTTATATGTTTCAGCATGGAGACTGCATGATGGTGCGGCAGTGCAACTTTACTTCTTGGCCAGAACATGGAGTCCCCGAAACTACTGCACCTATTATCCATTTTGTAAAACTCATCCGTGCAAGTCGAGCACATGATAATACACCGATGGTGGTTCACTGCAGGTATGCATGTTCACCCAAACATCACCAAGTCTCTTAGAATTTCAGGTACATATTAATCCTTGGGGAAGTTGCCAGGAGAACAAAGAAAACTGTATGGTCTGTTGAGGTGATGTCATTTAATCAGTCACTTTAACAGTTATCATAAGGTACTGATGGGTTTTGCTCAATTTTCCTCTCTATCATAAGAAGATGAATAGCAAATGACATGTTTGGTTTAATTCCTTCTATTATAATTATAGCTCTTCTTAAGAAATAAATATTAAAAACTGTATTTAAAATGTACATGACACATATCAAAAAGAAGGAACTATTTGGGAGCCACAGAGAATGCCAAATAGGAATAAGGGTTTGCATATTACAGATTTCAAGCTTGGATGTCTATAAGCAGCTAAAATCTATATTTAGGCTCTTAAATAAATGGTCTGATGGTTCGAGGTGTTCAGCTGTCATAGTTTCCTTTGATTTCATACTCAACACCATTAAATTGCTATTTCAAAGAGTGAGTGTGTGGGGAAGGCTGTCTTCAGGGAAGTGGTGAGTGTGCCTGCGTTTCATATGCAGGTCACTGATCCCACTGAGTGAGTGGGCACACTCCAAAAGAGCCATCTGAAATCGGAGGTCTGCAATGGATTCTTTACCTCATTCTCGCTCAGTATGAGCCTGAGAGTACGTGGAAGGAAAAGCTGGGATTGGTGCCACAAATCTCTCCCCTGACTGCCCAGTTTATTAGGTGTGGGAGTTCTTTTTATTTGTCCTCAGTGTCCTACAGGTGCCACCCACAATGGGTGATAAAGCCTCATTTTATTTGACATCATTGGCATCGACCGTCTGACATTTCCCTCCACTGAAGAATCTAGAGAGACATTTGCAGGAGACAGCTACATGGTCTTCAGTTTTTGAGGACACTTAGGTTATCTGGTGCCCCTTTGCAACGGATCTTGTTCCATGTTCACAACACAGATACATGAAGGGACCAGCACGGCCCAGATACTCCACCTGTGCTCAGATTCCTGATGGTTATAAAGCAGCATTGTGTGTTCTCATATCCCAAACACATATTTATTACTTTTTGATCATTAGATCTTGCAGGTCGATTTTCAGGAAAATAATTTCCTGATTGTCTGCAGTGATATACCCTGCATTTATTACACCAATTTCAGAGAAGTCTGATAATGATTTTGAGAAAATCCTGTTCATTTTCAAAACTTCAAATAAAACAACACTATCTACCAGCATGTCTTGCACACTCATCCTTCTTTTAAAAGTATTTTAAGTTTTGCTAGATCCCAAGTTGTTTTGTCTCAAATACCAAAAGCATCACAGAATCCTGGTGTGATTTCACAAAATCTTGTGATTTTTTTTTTTTTTAATTTGAATTGGTGAGCTCTAGAAAATTCACAGAAAACCTCTAGGACCATTTTTCCACTTAGACAGGTTTGGTTTAGCTATAGCTCAGCCATCCGATATATCGCCTTGTAAAACCAAAATCAGAACATGGTTCAGACCCATATTTTACTTTACCTTATTCAGCAAGCAAACACATAAATACACAAGTACATACTGAAAAAGATTTAATTTTTCCCAAAGTTTTCACTTCACAATAAGCTGAATTTAACCAGAACATTCCAAGAAAATATTTTATACTAGGAAAATTAATATAAAAACATTATCTTTCTTATCTACTATGTTTGCAGTGCTGGTGTTGGAAGAACAGGTGTTTATATTGCGCTTGACCATTTAACCCAACATGTAAATGACCATGATTTTGTGGATATCTATGGACTTGTAGCTGAGTTAAGAAGTGAAAGAATGTGTATGGTACAGAATCTGGTAAGATTTATATATTTATCTGTTCTGTTTTCCTGCTGTTAAAAGGTTAGTCACCTGATCATCTGGTCTACACAGTAAGACTAGAAAGCTCAGAACAATCAGCTGTCTAATACATATTCTACCACATCCTGCTTCTCGTTGGTTTTCAAACATAGTGCAAATGCATGGTTTGTATCTATTTAAGCATACTTAGCCAGCAAAGTCTTGACAAGGACTGAAAAGAGTGTTGATATTTCATTTGTAGACCCTAAATCATAGTTTCTCAGACTTAGAGAAAATTAATTTCAAATTTTGGGTGAAGAACAGTTGTTAAATTAAAAAAGGATTTGCTCATGCATCACTTAATTTGACTATATTTACTACTTAGCTGTATTTTTTTGTGTATGTGTATGTAGCGTAGTCCTCCAAACTTTTAAATATTCATTTACCCTTGTCCTCAGTAATGATTCCTTGATTCTTTTAAAATTGTTTCAAATTAAATAACACATATGGATAGAATTAAGCACAGACTTGAGCTTGCAAAATCTAGTCAATGGTGGTTTGAGGGTCTAAAAAAAGTGACTTACTGAGTATGGACATAAATTAGCAATGACCTGCTGATAAGGAAGACCACTGCTGTATATCTGGGTATCTGGGTATCTGTCAAATAGTAACAACAGCATTTAAAGCTGATCCTAAATTCCCAGTGGAATGGAAATCCAGCAGCATGTGCATAAGGCTCCTAGCTTAGGCCTTCCTCAGGCCAGATCTAACCCAAGGCTGCTGCCTGAAGACTTTGAGTCTGCATCATGACTTACCAACTTCTCCATACAGGTGAGCAGTTGCAGAATCAAATTCCATGTGACTCATAGATTTAAACTGATTTTAATGTAAGCAGACTTGTTCTACTAGGAATGCAACTCTGCTGTTCTGTATCATGTCATGAAACATGAAAAGTGTGTCAGAATAAACAGAGAGCAGTTAACTTCTTTTCAACAACTGCACTTCAGAAGGTTTTGTGAGACCTTCTGGTGATACCCTGTAACGCTAGTTCTTGTAAGACACTGTCTGATTAATTGCTTTCAATTTTTCCTTTCGAAGTCTTGATGCAGCTGAACAATTCCCAGGTCTTTCCCATGATGATGAATTCTGGAAGAAGTTTTTTTGGTTGTTTTACACGCTTGACTAGAAATATGAATCTAGTCTAGATTCAAGAATAATCTGAAAATAAGTCAAAGGCTGGAAGACAGTTTAATGGAAGCATCCCCAGAATAAAATCTTAAAACAGTCAGCCATTTGACAAGCTCAGTGTACGTTTCTAAAATGTGCATTATTTTTGTCTGCTTTATCATTTGCGTATTTTGGCAGAGACTAGGAAAAAGAGTTCCAAAATACAATAAAAGATGATAGTCTCATAGTTCTGATTTCCAAACAGATCAGGTATTGATCTATAGGCTAGCAGCAAAATTCTGAGACAGGTTGTTCTCTCTCCAGGTCATTTCCGTGTAGGCAGGCCTCCCAACTCCACCACAACCAGAGTCATTTCTTACAGAGGTGGCTTCTTGCCCCACCTCCAAGTTAATGTGGAAGGTGGGGGCACCTGGCAGTGATTTTCTAATCAGTTCCCACCCAAGGCTGGACAGAGCCTGAGTGAAAACCCATCAGGAGGATCTTTCTTGCCTGGTTGTGGACATCATCCATATGCCAACCCTCAGCTGGGTCTGGGGATTTAAACCCCAGAACTTAAATTTCTAGCTCATGTTTGAAAGACTGCAAAAGGCAGATCAGCAACAAAACTTGCACAGTGGGAACCAAATCTTATAGAGCTTTATGGCAGATACAGTAGTCAACTTATCTTGACAGTTCTGTTACAAAACACTGTTTGGTAGTCTGATATTCAGATTTTATGTGATCAGCACAGAAGATACAAAGAGAGGTGCAATTCCTTCCCAGAATTCAGAGATCTCTCAGTCGAACTGTCTGTGAGCTCTATGAGTAGAATAAATAAAAACCGGTTGATCTCAGACCTCTTTTGCGTTTAGTTATAGCATCAAAATAGTTTTGCTTTCGCCAAGAGTCACTTTCTGTTACTGTAGCCAGTGGGCACAGAATGTCCCACACTGGTATGGTTAAACACCTCTGCAGTGACCACTTTCTTCACAAGTTCTCTATAAGAAATGACCCATAGGCTACAGTAACACCTGAAACACACATGGAAATTATTTGAGATAGGTCATGTGGATCAAAACAATGCATGGGACTATCCAAACAAAGTAGTTTAGATGATCAAGCTCCACTGGCTGGTGCTGTATCCAGACACTATTTGACTCGCTAGTGTAGATAAAAGTTCAGTATCCTGGTACTCTGCCTGGTGGCCTGTAGATCATCAAGGGCTGTCTTTGGCACACATGCAAAGTGCATAACTTAAACTTCAGTGATTTTTTTTATTCTTTCTCCCACTTCCAATCATAAAAATATTTACAAATTGTTAAGAATGTCATTAATTCTAATGGGGAAGTTAACTTGTCACTTGTACGTTCCCCAGGTATCCTGCCTCACTTTCCCCTGGCAAACCCAGAAAGGTTTCCAGTGCTACGTGCCCACAAGTAGCTGTATGACTGCAAGAGGTTATGGAGCTTTCAGAGTCTGCCTTCAGAATTGAAATAACCGGTCTAAACATCACTGAAACTTAAGACTTTCTTTCTAGAAATTCACATTTGTCCGTTGGATCTGTCAAAGTTTATCATCTTGCCAAGTACAAAGGCCAGTTTGAAGCCATGCCGTGCTATTGCTTCAGTAAGCAAGCTACTGAGAAGCATAATGGTACTGTGTGATCCAAGGGCCTGTGAAAATCTGTTTAATTACCCATGGCTCTGGAGCTGTGACCTTAAAACATCTCCATGGAAACAAATTCCTATTACAAATCTGAGACACTGGAATCGAAAACTGATGGCACTTCTGAAATAAAATAGCAATTACTGAACAGGAAAATTACAGTAATGTATTTACCTGTACAAAAGTCAAGGGAATTAAAGTTATTTTGGTCTTCATCTGTGGAGATACCCAAAACCCATCTGGACAAGGTCCTGGGCTACATGCTTTAGCTGGCCCAGCTTGAGCAGTGGGGGGTTGCACTAGGTGATCTCAAGAAGTCATTTCCAATCTGAACGAGTCTGTGATATAGTTCATTTTCTGCATCCACTTACAGAATACTTCTCCTTTCTGAAGATATTTTTAATCCATTTATTTTCTTTCTACCTGCTTTCATTCTTTCATTTCGTTCTTTATTTCATTTTTACTTTGCTGCCTTTGTTTTTTTCTCTTTTCAGCAGTCATTACCTAGATTTACTTTATGCCCTTGGAAGTGTCAAGTTAACTTCAGTTGCCCACTCTTTTCATTACAGTCTGTTAAAAAATGATACTGCAGTTCAAAAAGTATCACTAAAAAAAAATGTTTTTTTTGCTCTTAGTGATGATGCATGATCCTAGAACATGTAGATTTAGATTTACGTGAACTTTTGCATTTGAGTGCACCCTGGTGGTTTTTCTCTATGCTAGAAAGAGGAAAATTTTCTTATCTAAATATTACATTTGTGTAGTTCATTTTCTTCAGCCTGAGGTAAAGAAAGCAAAAAGTAATCAAATGTCTTTTCATAAAACAAACCTTTACAGAAGATTGGGGAACAGCCAGTTAGTGTCAGGTAGGATTAGTCTAATTTCATACGCCTTACTGGGCTTAAGGATTAACATTTTCACAAATTTTAATGCATAACAAATCAGATCAGGAATATTTGATATTGTCATTGAAGTATTGATATTGCTGAGTTAAACTTCAGTTACTTTGAGAATGTCTAGGTGTTACATTAAAAAGAAAAAGGGTTTTTGGTATTAGTAGTACAATTTTCTTCTATTTGAACATCTTTAAATTCACATCTTACAGGCACAATATATATTTTTGCATCAATGTGTTTTGGATCTGCTGACAAGCAAGGGAAGTAGCCAGCCCATATGTTTTGTAAATTATTCAGCACTGCAAAAGATGGACTCTTTGGATGCCATGGAGGGTAAGGAGATACAGATTGTCTCAAAATTTTTTTTTATAGCAGGTGCACCAACTTCTCCAGACTAAGAAATAAAAAAAAAAAAAAAAAAAAACCAAAACACAACAATTTTGACATGCATTTTTGGCTTCAGAAGTGTTTCACTGCATGATCTTTTAAAATTCAGCCAAACCAGCTACCTGTCATCAGTTATTATTTATTTACAAGGTGGTTTAATGTAATGCATTTGTTTCTTTTGTAGGTGATGTGGAGCTTGAATGGGAAGAAACTACCATGTAAATACTAAGACTAAATAGAAAAGATGAGATTTTGAAAGTCAAAGCCGTATTTTTCTAAGCACAGGGGCCAAAGCGAATTCCCCTATTTTGATGACTAAAACATACGCGAATGATTGAAGCATCTTTTCTTCTATCAATGTGCCTTCATAAATATGTTAAAGTATTTTATTCAGATCACTGAGCAATAACAATTTGAAGTATTTTTGCACAGTCTGCACTTCTGGCGTTATATGAATACTGCATTCACTATGTATTTAAACAGTGTGTTTGAATATACTCCTTTTTTTCCAGTTATCTTTGTAAAAGAAGAAAAATGAGCCAAATACGATGTAAAAATTTCATATTCCCATTGAGCTTATTTTGGTGTGAATTTGCTGTGTTGTGGTTTGGTTTTCAGTAAAAGCTGCCGTTCCTTGAATCATTCTTGCTAGATTGATTTCAATGTTGTCAGCTCTTGCAGATTAATTCCAGTACTATCACAGTGATCTTTACCTAACTGTATGTTCTTGTGTTTTGAATCTTTTTTTACGAGTGGCAGCATTTCAGCTCATGATCCTGAACAGCTGAGGAGTCACCTTCTGACATGGGGAGGATTATTCAGCTTTTACACAGCACACAGTAGCTCTTCAGGGACACTTGGGGCTATTTAAGCTATCTTATAATCAGCCGTTTGTTTTTTTTAAATACACAATGGTGATTGCATATGTTCAGTGCTGACGACAGCATTTTACCTTCCTGGTACTTTTTCAAGCAGATCAAAGTAAACCATAAAATTATTATATATTATACTGTATGTAGGATTGACTTGAGTAATAGAAGGTTTATAGTTCATTAACATTTCTTGAACATAAGACTGTTCAATGTTTCTGAAGGTTACACAAAATTTAGTAAAAATATATTTGATAATACAGAGCTGTCAGGTGAAGAAGTTTTTGCCCCTTCATAAGGCTTGACAAATCAGTGTATACACTGAAAAGTATGGGAACTAATATTTGGAGATTTAATCAAAGAAGACATCTTCCACTCCCACCGATTATCATTACCAGAAATCGATCTGAAACGGGAATGAGAGAAGCAGGAAGCTCTTCTCTGAGAAACAAAGCAAAGACTGGTAGGAGGAGGAAGACCAGAGAGACAATTAAACTGTGTGCCCTGGTTTTACATAGAAGTTACAGTATTCAGTTGATATTACTGGGGAGAGAAGGGTTTATTTCCAAGCTTTTCTCTCGGTAATATGTCATTCTGAATGGTTCTAAAGATGTGACCTTAATCTGAGATGCAAAGTGTGATGACAAAGAGATTTCAGAATTGCCATTTTACATTATGTTTAGAGAGAAGAAATCCGTAGCCTTGTTGAGGCATCAAGCTCAAGGAAGTCAGACAAACCTCTTGAGAACCTTGAAGGATGTATGCGTGTGGGTGCATCTGTGTGCAAAAAAACTTTCCATCTCTTAGTTGTAGCCACCAGGAAGAAAATGCTGTACGCTCGCCACCCGATACTTCTGCATAAGTAAATGACGGTAGGTGTTTGATGTCTTTTTAGAAGCTGGCAAGGATAGGGCAGTGAGGACCCTTTGTAATTTAGCAGGAAGTGCCAAATATCTAAAATGAAAATCAAAAGACAGCATTTAAGGAGATGGAAATGGTCTACAGAGATATTTTGGGCAATCTGTCTTTCAGGAAGAGTGGCGGTATTGTAAACATCACCTGTCAAGCTAAAAAGAAAACAATGCCTTTTAAAGCTGGGCAGAAGGAGAGAGAGGTGATGTCCACAGCTGTTCAAGTCTCTGGCAAAGCATTCGCTACAGCTCTAGTTTCATTTGGTTCCTATGAAACATGTGTTCTTCATTTATTATACATGTACTTTAAAGTATTCTGACAAATTGCTTATAGAGACTTGCAGATGTTTTTCATGATTTGTATTTGTACTTGGTAGCAGTACATGCACCACTGTGGTAAACTGACATTATAGAGTCATAATCTTGTATAATCTTATATCCATAATGGTGGAATATCTGCATTTCTGTCATCCCCCTTTTGATTGGAGGAACAAGCTAAAAAGCCGTTTGCAACTTAGAGACACACTCCAGAAGTTCCAAATGTGCTTAAGTGTTTTCTGTTTTTTAAATAAACCATTTAACAATGAAGATTCCTACATCCTCCTTTAGGGGACCTGCCTTTGGTCAAATACTGCCTTCAGCAGTGTGCTTGTCGGACAGATTAGTAAGACTAAAAAATATTATTTTCTTTTCTGTAGGGTCAAGGTGAAAAACAGAAAAGTAACTGAAACAGTGTATTACACAATTCAATGTAAGCAATATGATAGATGCTACCTTGACACATTTTGAGTTGGCTTTAGGGTAAAAGCCAATATTCAGAGTAAACAAGCCACAACTCACAAGATACATGGTCAGGGAAAGAAGTATCTCCAAACAATTCTCTCCAAGAACTGGTTTTCAGTGTAACTACAGCAGCAGTTCACTGACCTTCTCGTGTGCCTGCCAATGATTTGCAGGGTTAGGGGAGCATTTGTACATCAGGAGATTCCCACAGACCTCTGTTCAGTTGTGAGGAAAGAATTTCCACACGGTCTCTTGCCTTCCAGCCCTTCTTCCCTTATGCAGTGGCACCTATGGTGGTGACACTGACAGAATTGGAGAGCTGGAGACATGCAGAATTTGTCCAGTTGCTGTATTAAGAAGTTATATAGGTATGTCTATATATAAAGTAACACACCATTTTCATTTGTAATGTTGCCACTCAAGTTTCTACAGAAACTTGGTGCTACTAACACAGCAAGAGTGTGTTCTATCAAAATGAGAAACTGAATGGATAAAAACTGTAGAAGAATAAACAAGTTCTAGAAGTTGATTACAACTGTATTGAAATTAGGTCATACTGTATTAAACTACTGGGTAATTTTTATAGAAACTGATATATCTCCATACATAGAAGAAACAATATTTATATATATATTTACAGCCAATTCTGTTGGATAGCATTAGAACAGGCTACTGTTGGTCCCCTCAAAAACCGATCTGTTCTCTTTACAAAACTAATAGAAAAACATCAGAACATCACATCGATGTTGAAATTTAAGTGCTTTTTTTACACTGTTAAAGGAATGGATAAAAATAATTCTCCATTCCAACTTGTGCTTTTACTAGATACATGGAGTTACTCATTAATGTAATTATGCAACATTATGTGGAAGATTAGTAATGTGTATTAGTCGTTGTAATGCTGTCTGTGCACTGCTGCAATAGGCACCACACTCATACGCAGTAACTGAGACAAGGCAGCAAAGAGCAATGAAGAGATCGTGTTTCGCACTAAAGTAACATGACTGAGCTTTCCTGGCTGCACACAAATGACAAAGCCTCCTAGATCTGGACATGACTTTGCAGAGATTCAGAACACAAAGGCCTGTGAAGTCTGTGGGCAGAAGAGACTTTTTTCTGAAAATATTTTGACAGCAAGTTAAAAGAAAACCTGAAAAGTGTATTAAGCATTACACAAGATCATTGTCTATCCATGGAAATAAACAATAAAAATAAATCAAAATTCATTCTTGCCTTAAGAACTTTTAGCTCTCTGCTTCAGGGGATATGCATATGGTAATAATGAATTTGGGGTTGCTTTAGAGTTAAGCCACATGCTCATTCAGTGCTGAAAAACAGGCAATACATTGAGGGCATTAGGCTGTAACTGGAAACCATTGACACGGTGCTGGGCACCTCTTTGTCCATTTTGATTTTAAGGAAATGAGCCTGAGAAAATATACTGAAAGATGATCCACTGTTTCACCACTTTCCATGACTGTTGTGTCACCACTTTAGGCATGGTGTGGAAATGACAAGTCATCCCTCCATTTTTTTGTTTATTTTCTAATGCTGTATTGCTTCTCTATATGTGACCAGATTAGAAGAAATTGTAAACAGTAGTATGGGTCATCTGAATTCAAATACCGCGGGCATGATCTACAGGCATAGAATCACTGAATCATTAAGGGTGGAAAAGATCTCTAAGATAATCAAGTCCAACCATCAGTCATGCCAATCATGGCATGCATCATTCTCAGGAAGGTGAGTATAATCGAATGCCAACTGCGTTTTTGCACTGGTTCTTGCCCAGAATACATTTTCTGCTCTGTGGTCTGTGTTGCTGTGGTTATGAGGTATGAGACAAGTGCAAACCTACTTTTGTGCTGATCTCAGAGCTCAGCCGTGCTGTCAGTTGCACGTCTCTGCAGCACAGGCAACTGTGTGTAGTTAGAAGGGTAAACTAGCTTCCTACCCAGGAGTTCCCCCTACTGCTGTAACAAATTCTGATGTCAATTTTAGCACTGGTCAGTATTCAGCGTCAGATGAAGACAGCAAGATGGATCTGATGTTTGATAATTTGCATGGCAATTCTCTTTTCCCAACAACTTTCAACAAATTATGCTGAACTAATTACTTGTTTTAATTATTTATCCTCACAGTTTCCTTATCATGTGGGTCCTTCCTCAGGCTCCACTACGTAAAGAAAACCAAAAATCAGTGGCTTCTCAGCACCGAATAACAATGCCAACAATACATTTCACAGATCCCACATTATCAGGCAAAGTCTGCAATGAAGTTGTGCCTCTGCGTTTCAGCTGAAAGTCAACATTTAGAAGGTTTCAGTTATATTTGGATCATCTTACTTTGCTTGTTGATTGGTGTTACCAGGGTGATCTTTTTGCAGGATGACAGGTGCAACCAGCTATCCTCTGTAATCATGAATAAACCATTCCAGTACTCTTTACAGACAATAATGAGCTGAAGGAAGTTTTACAAGGATATTCCTGAAATATTTTGCAGGAGATGGAGTTCTGAATTGTATAAAAAGAATACTTGGATACTGGAAACCTAATACACAGCTAAAGCTCTACCATTCTCAGTTGCATGCCATAAAGCTTGCTAGCGGGAAACATATCCTAGAACACACAGAGCATATTTGGGACAACATACACAACCTTTGAGCTTAGTACTGCAAGATACTAGTTGGGGTAACTTGTTCACCAGTTGGGGATAACTGCAGATAAATAAAATTTATACACTTTTGATTTGATTAATATATTGGTAATCCCTTTCTTAGAGTGCGGCACCTAACAGTTACAGAACTGCACCTTTTTGTTTGTCAGTCTGCTGCTGGGATTCACAATAGGTCCATTTAACTCCTACAGGATTGTAGGATCCAATATGACAGAGACAACGTGCATAATGTGAATCTGGGTTTGCATCTTGTGCACAGACTTCTGAAATGAGCTACAATAACACAATATTATACTCCACACATGGGCAAGGAATTGACCTGAGGAGACTGGCTGCCTGGCATGAAATCTTCCTCCCTTTTGAGAACAAGATAGTTATCTGACAAG